TGAGGACAAGGAAGGCTGCAAGAGTCTGGAAGAGAGCCTGGTAAAGGGGAACTTGCAGGCCAATGTGACTGGAATTGTGGGAACCTGAGACAGAGCTGTCAGCCAGAGTCAGCAGGGGCTGCACGTCATGGGGCCTGTGGGCAGGGCTGGGAGTTTAGACTTTGTCCTGAGAGCAGTGAGGAACCAGGAGTTTTAATAGATAGGAGTGACACAATCAGAATTGCATTTTAAAAAGTTCCCTTTGCTGTTGTGTGGGATGGGACTGAGGGGCTAGGCAGGAGGCTCTTACAGCACCCAGGCCGGACAGTGTGGGGGCCTGGACTGGGCTGGAGCTCTGGAGGGAGTGGGCTAGTTAGGGATTAGTGAGGGGTGAATGCAGTTGTCCCAATTAACTGGTCTCCCTGCATCCACCTTTGCCCCTTACAGTCCATTCTCGGTGCGGCAGCCCCAGGGATCCTGGTTAAAACATAAAAGTCCAGGTCACGTCACTCCTCTGGCTTCTCATCTCAGAGTAGAATCCAAAGTCCTTCCTGTGGCTTACAAGGTGAACATGGCCAGTCTTCCTGTCCCCACGTCTCTCTGACCCCATCTGCTACTCCCGGCCACCTCACACCCCCCCCCCCCCCCCCCCCCGCCACTCGGGCCATTTCTTCACTGTCCTTAGGATGAACAAACACATGCCTCCTCTCCCAGCCCTACCCAGGGCCTTAATACTCTGTTTTCCCGAAAATAAGACAGTGTCTTATATTAATTTTTTTCTCCCAAAGTTGCGCTAGGTCTTATTTTCAGGGGATGTCTTATCTTTCCATGCGCTAGGTCTTATTTTCGGGGAAATGCTTACTTCTTGCTCCCTCTGCCTGGACTGCAATTTCCTCCTCACCATCTCAGGTCCCTGCTCCAGTGTCACTGTATCTGTGAGGTCTTTCTAGATTCCTCACCCGAAGGGAACGCTTATTGTCTACTGTAATGGCCTATGTATTTCCTTTATGGCATTGCCTATAGTCTGTATGTATATGTTTGTCCAAAATGGTTTCCTGGTAGGTAGCACAAGGCCTGGAACATAATAGATTCTTAGTAAATAATTAACTGAATAAGTGAGTTGAGCTTGAGGATGTAGGGGGGGAAATACTTGCCCTCAAGGCCTTACTTTCCTCTGAGGGTTTAGGCAGTCTGCCCACTGAAACCAGGATGGCAAAGTGAGGAAGAAGGTGATGGGAGGCAGGGAGGCCAGGGTGTGTGTGTGTGTGTGTGTGTGTGCGCACACTGTGTGGCCTGGGGTCTGGGCAGGACAAAGGTAGGTCTAGGCCAGACTCTGACCAGGCTGGAAACAGGTTGTGGCAGAAACACCAGATAGGGAGGGAGGGGATGGAGTGGAGGGAATGTGGATGGAAGCTACTAACTCTGCCAAGGCTTTGCTGTGAGGAAGGGGACCATGAAGCAGGGCCTTAAAGAGTAGGAGTTTGTAGGATGCAGAAAAAAAAATAAAGGCATTCTGAGCTTGAGAGAAGGTGCATGAAAAGGTGGGATGGCTCAAAGAATGGTGAACTGTCTAGTACAGCAGAGGAAGTGAGATCAAGAGTTCAGCAATATGAAGTCAGTTTTCAAATACTAGGCCTATACTTGGTCAACCAAATGCTCTGTCTTCAGGGCCCTGGGGGCCATGAAGCAAGGGAGTGCGAGAATGCTCCAGCTGCCCTGCAATGGGCCCCAGAAATGCTTAAGTGGCAGAACTCCAGACAGAATGATGGCTGGATGGGATGATGGGTGGAGGGTATAGAGGATGATGTCCAAGTCTAGTCTGGAGGCTCCGGAGGTGAGGACTTGAGAGAGGAGCAGGTCTGGGGACAGCAATGAGAGTTGGGACTGGGCCGGGTGGGCTGGCGCACTCTGAGTTGGGGACCCCGTTTCCCAGAGATATTGTCCCACAAGACGTTGCCCCAAGATTTTTATGTTCACCCCCTTTGGATTCGGTCAGGGCGCCTGGGTGGAGAGGGTGTTTGGGGCACTGGGCAGAGTCCTGAACCTGGGAGAGGACAGAGCAACCCGCAGTTCTGGGCGCCGTTCCTCTTAGCTCCTGCCTCCCCAGTCCCTCACGCAAATACCCGCCTGGGCAAGGGCTTCTCCGGTGGCTGCAGCCCTGGGGGGGCGCAGCTGTTGGTGCCCAAGGTGCCCAGGCGGCAGACCCGGTGGGGAGAGGCGGTGACGGCGCGTCCCGGAATGTAGGGGAGCGCCGGCGGCGGGTGAGAGCCGGGCTGTGGGTGGCAGACTCTGCGGTTGGAGCCTGAGAGCCAGGTGGAAGCCTGCGCCTGTATTTTTCCACGGGTTCCTGCGCCTAATTGCTTCCCTGGCTCCCCGGCGGCCTGTCATCCCTCCATCCCCGCCTCAGACCGGGTGGGGCCCTGACCTAGCCCGCAGGCACCGCGGGGCGGGGCGGGGCGGGGCGGGGCGGGGCGGGAGGAGCGCAGGGCGTGGGGACGCGCGCGCGCCCGGCGCCAGGGCGGGCCCTCCGGCCGCTCCAGGGGGGCCCCGTGCGGACAGCGGGGGGAGCCCTGCGGCGCCGGTTTGGGGGGGGGTTGGAGTTGGGGGGGCTGGGAGAGCTGGGGTGGTGCCGCGGTTATCTACAGGCCCAGGCCCAGGCCCAGGACGCGGGGCCCTCCTCTCACCTCCCTTCCCAAGGACACTTGCCGAGCGCCCGGGCCTGCGCTCCCGCGGGGAGGGGCAGGGGGCGGGAGGAGCTGCTGGAAGGAGTCCTTGGCACAAATGGAAGCAGGAACACAAGACCTACCAGAGAACGCAAGTCAACACTCAGGGGAAGGCACCTGAGTAACTGGGACAGGTGAGCACAGATCTTAGTATTCTTGGGGAGGAAAGTCACGGTTTTGAGGGTTGTTTGCTTGTTTTTCTTTTTGTTTTCCAGAGCCTGAAACGCTGAATCTAAACCTCTTGACTATTGAACATGCGCAAGAATAGCCTGGAGATGTTTGTAAACGAGGAACAAGAAGGAGAGATGGGCATGTCAAACTGTAAAATGATAGGAATCAAGCCAATGTGATTTTGTCACCAGAATAGGAGAGTAGGTCAGTGGGAGGAACAAAGATTCTTTAAAAAATAGGTAAAGTTCCTACCTATAATTAAGAAATTAAATAGCCATAGCCTCAGGTTTGACTCAATGGATAGAGCCTCGGCCTGCAGACAAAGGGTCCCGGTTCGATTCTGGTCGAGGGCACCTGCCAGGGTTGCTGCTCAATCCCCAGTAGGGGGCGTGCAGGAGATAGCAGAGCAGAGATTCTCATCATCATTGTTTCCATCTCTCTCTCCCTCTCCCCTCTGAAATAAAAACAATAATTAAAAAAGTTAAATAGTCCTGGCCAGTTGTAGCTCGGTAATCAGGTTATCAACCTGTACATCAAAGGCTCAGGGGTTCGATTCCTGGTTAAGGGAAGCTACCTGGGTTGCAGGTTTGATCCCTGGTCCTGGTGGGGAAGACAACTAATCCAAGTGCCTCTCACATTGATGTTTCTCTCTCTCTCTCTCTCTCTCTCTCTCTCTCTCTCTCTCTCTCTGTCTCTGTCTCTGTCTCTGTCTCTCTCTCTGTCCTCCCTCCCCCACCTCCCTTCCACTCTAAAAAATCAATGGAAAAAATATCCTTGAGTGAGGATTAATAAAACAAAGAAGTTAAACCTCAGTAAAAAGACTGAAGGGTTTAGAGCATTTCCCCCAAGAATTCCTGGAGAAGACCATCTGCTCCCGGCTGTTTGCTCAGCACCCACAAACACAATATAATCAGAGAAATGCAACTTAAAGCAACGACATGTTGCATGTTACTTAGATTGGTTAAAAAAAAAAAAAAAAAAAAGTCCTGTATTAGCAAGAGTGCAAAGAAATGAGTACTGTTGTGTGCTGATGGTGAGAGTGTGAACTGATAAGTCTTTTGTGGTTTGCAGTAGCACAAAATTGACAATCGCACAAATGCATATTCCGGTTCTCTAAATAAAACAGGATTAATCTGTCCAGCTAGCTCAGTTGGTAGAGCATGGGACTCTTAAATAAAACGGAACTAAATAAACAAGGCTGCTACTAGTCGGGAGCAAACTAAGGAGGGGGCAGTTGCACGTGACCAGGGGTCTAGGAGCGTCCTTGGGTGTGAGCAGCCACAGCTCACCAGTTCTGGCAGCATTAATATTTTTTAAGCGTGAGAGTCTCCACCAGGATGCATGTACCGAGCTGCGAAAAGAGACAAGACCGAGGCTGCTGCGCACACATTGTAACAACCGGCCTCTGACTTGGGTGTTTACTCTTTGGAGGGGTTGAAGAGTGAGGCCCTAGGCCAGTGTCCTAAAATCTCCGCTCTTCTTCACCACCTCCCCGCTCAGCGCGCCCCCTGGTGGTGAGAGAGGGGGAGGGAGAGGAGAGGAGAAGGGAGAAAGGGAGAAACACCAGAAGGGAGAATTCTGAGAATGCAGGGAGATAGATGCACTCCCCGTCATACACCCCGCGGGGCAATCCTCCTGTGGCTGCTAGGGGTGTCCGCGCTCATGCTGGTGGCAAGACGGGGCCTTTCCTGTTTGTGCCCGCCTCTGCCACACCCCTGCACACACAGTTCCTCACTCTGTACAGCTCTCCGCTCCTTAGTTCTCAGCTGGCACCTTCCCTGACTGCACGAAGGTCAGATCCCTTAGCATGACATCACCTCACAGCACCCAGACCTCACACACGCCTCCCTTTGAACAGAACTTGTGATTCATGTCTGCCGTCCACCCAGGCTGTGGCCTCCTAAAACAGCCCAGTTCCTGTCTCGCTCTCCATTGCATCCAGTGCCCCGGGCATGCTTGGATTCTGAACAGCTGGCACCCGGGAGCCACGGCCTGCACTGGAGGGAGAGACTACATGGTGGAGGCCAGCAGAGGGAGTTTATTTATTAGGGAGGCAGGGGCACACGCTTATTTACACGGGGCATTGGAAGAAGCAGAGGTGGGGTGGGGTGGGGTTACAGGAGCAGCTCAGACGAGTTCCACCTTGGCGTTGGGGTACACCGCCACCACGTCATAGCCCTCGGGAGGCTTGACGCGCGCCTTGGCGTGGATCTCGCAGTACAGCCGCTCGTCCAGGAAGAAGTAGCCGCGCTGCTTGAGGTTCAGGCCGCAGTCGCTGCACATGAAGCACTCGGGGTGGTACAGCTTGTCCCGCGCCTTCACGATGGTGCCCCTGGTGGGAGGCCGGCGGGGGACGGCATTGGGGGACAGGTTCTCGGGGCTGCCTGGCCCGGATGTCGGGGGCGGGGGGGGGGGGGAGCTGGGGTGCGGTGGGGGGAGGGGCAGGCCGGGGCTGATACTCACACGATGCCGTGGCCGCAGCGCGTGCACTCGGGCAGCCCCTGCAGGCCGCTCAGCGGGGCTCCCAGCTTGCCGGCCGTGGGCTTCAGGTTCCGGGGGCTGCCAGCTCCCTGCCGCTCCCCTGAAAGCCGGAGCGCAGGTGGCGTGAGCCAGGTGCGGTCCCGAGGTCAGAAAAAGGGAAAAACTTCCCTTCTTCAAGGGCTGAGCCCATAGGCCCGGCTTTCGGGGAAACCCCGGCAGACAGACTGGGGGTGGGGTTTGGAGGGAGCGCTTGGGGAAGGGCCGTGAGGGGTGGATCCCGGAACACGCGGAGTGGGAAGGCAGATGAGGGTAGTGGGGGGCTGGTGTCTTACCGCCCTCGCCAGCCTCCAGCATGCCCTGCAGGTAGCGGAAGGACCCGGACTGCTTGGGCTCGGCGGGCGCGAGGGGCTCGGCGGGCTCCTGCAGCATCCGGTACACCTCCGAGCCCCTGTGGGCTCCGCAGTCCCGGCTCCGCGGGAGGCCTCTGCCTGGGTCGGCGCTGAGCAAAAGAGAGGCAGGGAAGGACGGTCACAGCGCCAACCTCCTCTCCGCCTGCTCAGAGGTCTGGGGAAAGTCTCATTGTACTGTCGGTGTGCGGGCCGCCCAGACCCAAGAATCAAGGATCAGGGTCCAGAGGGAACCTGGTGAGGTTTGAGGGCCTGGGGCTTAAGGCGGGATCCAGGTGTGGCTGCAGAAACCACGCCCAGTACTACCTGTGGGGCGGAGACACATGCATGGCGCTCATCTGGGCCAGCATGGCGGCCTCACTGCTGCTGCCGTTGTGCGGGACGGAGAGGAGAGGCGACTGCCCGTAAGGAGACCCCAGGTCCGGCCTGCCGTCTTCTGGGCCACTCCCTGCGGCCGAGGGCCGCCTGCTGGCCATCGGACTGCCATCCTACGGAAGAGAGAGGTCTGAGGTACTGCTGGGAGACCCTCTGGGGCAGGGCCTGTGGCCACTCCTAGCACAGCTACCCCCTCTGCCAGGCCAGGCCTTCTTGGATGCTGGCTGGCTACCCCTGCTCTGGCATCTCCGGGGAATGGTGCCCAGGCAGGGAGGGAGTCTGTGGGGAAGGGCTGAGCCTTAGGCCTGGTCCAGACCTCTCCCCCCCCCCCCCCCAATCTCCCCTCCCCAAAATGAGAAATGCCTGTAGAAAGTCAGCACAGAAACCTGCAGGCCTGAGACTCAGACTTGGCTCCTGAGTCCTGTGGTGGTTCTGACCACCAGTGCCCGCGAGGGGTGGCGTTAGGGTAGGGGCTTCCCAAGAAGCCAGGGTGTGTGGCTTCCTTGTTGAGGTGGTCCCGGTGCCAAACCTTCCTACTTGCCAGAACAGTCCTGGATACTGGAAGAGTCCACGGCTAGAACCAAAAAGGAAAGTCTGTCCTACAGCCAGGAAGGGTCACCCAGCACTGTGTGCCCAAGGACCTCTGGGGCGGAAGGCTGAGCTCTAATGTGCCATTGTGAGGCCAGCTTCCGCTCGGCCTGTGCCTCTGCCCCCATTTCCTGCGTCCCAGGCTGAAAAGGTGGGCACAGCAGATGAGGGGCAGAGGCAGGGCCAAGGTTCAAGCCTCCCCCGCCCACTACGCCACGGCCGGTCTGACGTCCATGGCGGAAACATTTTGGGGAGCGGTGCCCTGACCATGCCTCCTCGGCCCATGAGGGGCATTTCTGTGGGTGCGGGTCTGAATGGGGCCTGGGATCTCTGTCTCTGCAGAGTCCAGGGCTGCGCTGCCCCCGCTGAGGGTGAACATGCCCACAGCAATGTGAACACAGGCACACACACTCTGACACGTACGTGTGCATGAAGACAACACACACCAGCCAATCCACCCACATAACCTAGTCACACATACAGAGCCAGCGCTGGCCACCCTGGCGATGGCGATGGCGGCCTCCACGGCTGGAATGAGGTTGGCCGCCAGGGCAGCCTGACTGTAGGGTGGGGCCAATCGTGCAGGCCATGAAGGTGGTCTGAGCCTCAGCCTGGAAGATGGCATATAAATATCCCCTTTGCTCTACAGCAGCGGTCGCCAATCTTTTGGACCTCATGGGCCACCAGACCACCAGTTGATAACCACTGCTCTACAGCGTGGACAGGGGGGACACTAGGTGGGGAGGAAAGGACCCCTAACCTGGGGGGGAATGAGTCTGGCTTGGACTTAGGCTGCCTCCAGCGTTGGGGCACAGTTGAGCTTGCAGGGCTCTGCCTGACTGCCCTGCTTTCTGCAGGCTCTGAGCTGGGCAGGAGCTTGGGTAATGAATGGGTGGACCAGCAACTGAAGGGGGTGATACCACCACATTCCCAGCGGACAAAGGAAAGGTGCACAGGTGGGCCCCCATCAAGAAGGCAAGAGCAGCAGGAAAACCCTTGTCCCCACTGGGCCCGACAAGAGCCCCGAGGAGCCTGAGCACTCTCATATTATATATGCGTGTCCGCTGGGCAAGCAGGCGGGCACGGCTGGCCTGGCCTGTAATGGGGACCAGATGGGCCATGGGCTATGGGAACAGGGCTGGCAGGTACAGAGGAGGCTTCAATAGGAAGGGGAGGTCAGAGGGGCCTGGGAAGGAGGCCCCCACTCAGCGCCACCCAGAGGGTGTGAGTCTATTTCAGGTCCATCAGAGCCTCTGCTCCTCCACAGCCACCCGTGCAGCAGCCGCTCTAGGTGTGAACTCGGTGGGTAGGGCACCATGTGACCTCGGTCCTAGCTCTGCCACTCATTCACCGAGCAAGCCACTTCACCTTTGAACCTCTGTTTCTTCATCTGTGAAACGGAGCACGTGACGATCCCTATATCGTAAGTTCTTTGTGGGGATAAAATGAGACGGTTGCATACAAAGCACTTAGCATAGTGCCTGCTGCCCAGCACACGCCCTTTGGATAAATAGCTGTCCTGGGCATTCCTGAGCCCCATCCCCTGACCGCTCTTCTCTGTGAGGAGGTGCACTGGGGCCACGTGCTGGCTGCTGGTTTGGTTGTTGAAGCCGTGGTTGGGTTAGTGAGCAGAATGGAGGACAGTGACTCCCACATGACTGTGGTCAACATGTGGGGCACTCAGTTTGGATGGAGGTGGGTGCAGAGTCTAGAGGGCACCTTTCAGAATCCAAGCTCCAGCTCTCTGCTAGTCTGGAGAGAACAGGCTGAGTGTGCAAGGGCTGCCTGCCCCACTACGCTTGCCTTAACCCTGTGGTTGGCAAACGGCAGCTAGTGAGCCACATGCAGCTCTTTGGCCCCTTGAGTGTGGCTCTTCCACAAAATACCAGAGCCGCTGAAACCGGTTTGGCTCAGTGGACAGAGCGTCAGCCTGCGGACTGAAAGGTCCCGGGTTCGATTCCGAAAAGGGCATGTACCTTGGTTGTGGGCACATCCCCCCCCCCCAGTGGGAGGTGTGCAAGAGGCAGCTGATCGATGTTTCTAGCTCTCTATCCCTCTCCCTTCCTCTCTGTAAAAAAAAATCAATAAAATATATTTAAAAAAATTTTCACGGCCTGGCTGGGACCGGTTTGGCTCAATGGATAGAGCGACGGCTTGGGGACTGAAGGGTCCCGGGTTCCATTCTGGTCAAGGGCATGTACCTTGGTTGCGGGCATATCCCCAGTAGGGGGTGTGCAAGAGGCAGCTGATCGATGACTCTCTCTCATTGATGTTTCTAACTCTCTCTCTCCATTCCTCTCTGTATAAAAATCAATAAAATATATTTAAAAAAAAAATTTCACGGCCTGGGTGAGTCTATTTTGAAGAAGTGGCGTTAGAACAAGTGTAAGTTTAAAAAATTTGGCTCTCGAAAGAAATTTCAATCATTGTACTGTTGATATTTGGCTCTGTTGACTAATGAGTTTGCCGACCACTGCCTTAACCCACCACCTGGTTCTCAGCTTAAATGCCACCTTCTCCAGGCAACCTTTCCTTATCACCGTCCTGCCTCTGCTCTGGGCTGTACCAGTGCCTCCTGGGTTCCCACGTGAGGCCTGAGAGGAGAGGAGAGTCGCCTACACCCAGCACGGAAGGTGGCCTGAAGCTCCTGTTGGCCCCGTCGCATCCCTTGTGGGGGTGCTGCCAGGGCAGCTAGTGCTGGTCTGAGGGCCAGCTGTGGTTTTCTCCTCCTCTGAGGCTCCAGCTGGGCCCACCCTCCTCCCCTGTAGGCAGAGGGAGGGGACAGTGTGGGACAATGGGCCCTGTGTCTGTGTTACTGAGGACACAGTCCTGCAGGGGCTGGGCAGGGGCGTTTCTTTCGCCACCCATGGAGCCCGTGACCTTTTAAGTACAAAAGGCTGGCAGCGGGTGAGGGGCTGCCCTGTTGCTTTTGGAAAATCCCTTCGCTTCCAGCCTCAGCAGCCTGGTCCTGGTAGAGGTCAGCGAGGGACAGTGTGGGGTGATCAGGATTGCCAGCTATATCTGCTTACTATGCCTGGGCCCAGCCCTCGGCCCCCCAGGTCCACCGGCCTTGAGCCTCTCCTGGAGACAGAACAGAGCAAGCTCAGGCCCCTTTGTCCTGTCCATTCTGGCCCGAGCCCCACACACGAGCCTCACACAATGCTGCTCCCCTCTGCCTGGCCCAAGTGTGGTTGATTTGTCTATGTCCTCCCTCTCCCTCTTCCCCAGCTGCCATGAGCAGCGGGTTCATGGGGCCAGAGCAAGCTTCTGAGACACAGGTGTGGCCACGAGTCTCTGCAAGAACAGCGGAAGTCCCGGAGAGAGGAAGCCAAGAGCCTCTTTGCTACGCTGCCCCATCCCTCACCTCTCACCTCTCCCCCCACTTCCCCTCTGATCTCTTGACAGAGTCGCATGGACTCCTTAGACCCCTGGCTTCTGCCATCCCAGAGCTGCTAAGTGTCTCGCCCCTTCTCGAATAGGCACTCCCTGGCATGTGGTAAGCATGGGGCCTCAGGATGCCAGCAAAGGCACGGTGGGGACTGGGATGGATGCTGAGGGAGCGGCCACAGCAGATCCTTCCCTCCCGTACAGCAACGCCTCCATGGCAAGAGTGGACACAAGCACCCAGGAGGTTATGGCCCCACAGTTCTGACTCCATCACATACCAGTCCCATCTCCACCTTGTCCAAACTATGTGGCACAGAGGTGTGGAGCTGGGTGGGGTGTTTTATACCATAGTCTTGCCAACTGGGTGCCTCTCAAGCCCACGGCAAAAAGAGGCTATAGAGCCTAGGTGCCCGTCAGCAGATGATTGGATCCAAAAACTATGGTACATCTACACAATGGAATACTATGCTGCCATAAAAAGAAGGAATTCTCATCATTTGCAGCAACCTGGATGGAATTGGAGGACATCATGCTGAGTGAAATAAGCCAATCAATGAAAGAGAAACACCACATGACCTCACTCATTTGTGGATGATAAAGAACATTATAAACTGATGAACCAAGAGACAGATATAGAGACAGTAAAGCAACAGGCAGACTGTCAAATTACAGCGGGGAGGGGAGGAAGATCTGGGGGAGATAATAGATCAACCCAAGGACTTGTGTACATGCATATAAGTACAACCAATGGACATAAAACTCTGAGGAGGGAGGGTATGTATAGGAGAGAGGGAGGGGGGCAAAAAAAATCAATAAAATATATTAAAAAAAAAAAAAAAGAGGCTGTAGAACCGACTGGCCCCCCTCATTCTCCTTGAAGACAGTACTCTTGTCCTCCATGAAGAGGTGACTGAGCAGGTGGCCTTCAGTCTGAAGTCTGCTAGATGCCATCCCAGGATGGCCAGGAGAAGATTTCAGCCTTGGATTAGAGCAAGGAAATACCTTACATTCAAAGCTCAGCCCTGTGGCCTGAGGTTGGCTCTGGTCAGGTGATTACTCAAGGCCGGGATGCAATGCAGAAATGCCCCATTGCCTGAGGTCCGCTCACAGCCTGAGGCTGTCCCCACTCTGCTCCAAAGCCTGGTGGCTTCCTTCTGGTCTGGCATCACTGGGCGCCAGGGTGAAACCCAGCTGGGTGGGTGTTAGCCCTGAGCCAAGGCCTGGCCCAGTCCTCCCCACCACAGACACCTTAGTCCCAGAGTCCAGGACTGCCTGGAGTACAGACAGAATCCCCAGAGAAGTCTCCTGCTTCAGTCTGGCCTGGAGATCCGAGAGCCTGGGGGGGGGGGAGCACCCAATGCAGTTAAATCTGGGGACCAGGCCTGGCCCCTCCCTGGGCTTGCTCTGAGTCTTTACATACCTGGGTCTCAGGGTCGATGTGGATCCTGTGTGCCTGAGCCTTGCTATCTTCTGGGGCACTGGGCCAGCTTTTGCCTTCAGGCCTGTGGCGGGAATTTAGGATGGTCAGATATATCAGCTCACTCTGCCTGGGAACTAAGACCAAGAAGGCCTGGGTTCTGGGCCCAGAGCCACGCAGGCCCAGGTCTGACACCCTGTTCAGAGAAGGAAATGACCCCCGGGCTTTTCCCTGCACTAGAGTGGTGGCTGTGTGTCCCTTCCCTACCAGCCGCTCCATCTCTCTCTGGTCTGGTTCCTGGAGAGGGAGGTACATAAATAAGCTCAGCAAAAAGAGGGCCACCTCACCACAGAGGGATCCAGGCCCCACACACCAATCAGCGGGGGGCGCATCCACTCAGCCCTCTTCTGTGGCAGCCTCTGGCTGGGCCTGGGGTCAGGCATCCATGGGCTCCGGGGGAGGTGAAGTGGAGGCTGAGGGATGTGCCTCCCTCCTGCCGATGCCGGCAGAGTCATCACCAAGGTCTGCCCAGCCCAGCCCAGCCCAGCCCAGCCCGATGGGAAACAGGCCATTAGGAAATTCCTGCTTCGCCATAGAAACCAAAAGCCAAACACCACTCAGGAGGGAAAAAAACATCATTAACCTGACACAAGCAGGGCAGACAGGCCTGGCGGCTACTGGCCGGGGGCCCAGGCCTACCACTCAGTAGCCCTGTGGGGAGGCAGGCCAGGGGTGCGGGGACTTTGGACTGGCTGGTGGGTATGAAGTGAGGCTGGTCAGACCAAAGGGGAATAATGTCTCCACTCTGCCCCAGAAGCCTCTGGGGGCTTCTACTTCGTATCCACTTCCCGGGGTTTCTTGAGGTGTTGGTCCCTGGGCCAGCAGCTCCGTCCTCTCTCTCTCCCCGCTCAGCAGACCCGTGGTCCACACCCAATCTGCGTCTCCTCACCTTCGCCTGGTCAAAGAACAGGCCTCGGCACTCTCCCCAGGCCTCACCCCTGCATTTGTCCATTCTTTGCCTCCTGCAAACTTATACCTCTCTCCTCCACAACCATTTGGAGGTCTGTGGCACAACCCCTGCTGCCCAGGGCAACACTACCACTGCTGGCATCTGGCTCCTGCCCTCTCAGCCAGGCTGCCTCGTGACTGCCCCAGCGCACAGCTCTCCCCGTGGCCTCCGCCCGCTGGAACCTCCCGGGATAAACCGAGGACACTGCACGTGGCTATCTGCCTGCTACTTCCTCGAAGTTCTGCCCAGAAGAGAAGTACACGTCTGAGGTCTGAAGGTCAGAGAGCACCAGAGTCCGGAGCCCTGAGGATGGCTCAGGAAATCAGATCAGCATGAAGGGCTTCTTCATGTGTCAACCTGCATCTCCAGGCCTTCCCTGCGGGCTGGGGAGTGACTCCATCTGCCATCTTGAAGCGAAGGGACAGCCAAAGGGTGGACTGTGCAAAAGCACCTTGTACTGCACACAATGGGCAACTGAATCCCCACCAGAGGCCCCGGGGTCGAAAGTCGTGGGTCTACAGAGCATGCCCGGGGAGTGGGGATTGGCTTGAACTGTTCGACACCTGGCTTTGAGTTCCAGACAAAATACCGTATTTTCTGGCGTGTAAGACGACACTGTGTTCTAGTAAAAAGCCTGCTCAGATTGGCCAGAGTCAGAGAGGCGGTCTATTAAAAAAAAAAAAGAACTGGTGTTGCCTCAGAAGTGGGGGGTAGTCTAATACAGAGAATATAGGCCTAAACCTATGTTTTAACTGTAAAATTAGGGGGTTGTCTTATACACCGGAAAATACGGTAAGCATAGCGGGGAGGGGGGGGCTGGCTTTTATTTCACGTTTCATCCTACAGAACAGTCTGTGGAGGATAAAAGCCCTCTGGACACAAGAGGCCAGGCAAGGAAGCTGGACTGGGGAGAGCCCATATTTGGGGGGCCCTTGGGACCCAAGCATAGCATAGGTCCTGGCAGGACAGAGAGCGGAGTCAGGGGTCTTACAGGTGAGAAGGTGCCCAAGAGAAGAGATGGTGGCCCAGAGTTATCAAGGCCCCGGTGATGATTGAGAATCTGCACGTGTGATGATTGAGGATAAGGCCCCTGAGGACTGGACCCCAGGTTTTCACCCTGACCGAGCAGACTTGGTCCATCCTCATCACCCAAACCCCAGATCACAAGACAGTCCCCGTTTTGGAGTTGAGGAAGCTCATGGCTCTGAGGTGAAGTCACTTGGTGGAAGACAGCAGTTCCCGAGTACAGAGCTGGGACGGGAACTGTGGTGGTAGAGACCCTGTGCTGGCACCTGCTCCATGGCCAGGCAGCATCTGGGGACTGAAACGCTCGGTGTGGAGCAGGTTAGTGGACTCGGGGCTCCATCCATGCTGGGCTTGGAACAAATGACTAGGGAAGGAAGGAAGGAAGGGGGTCCTCCACCCTCCCCCATCCTGCCCCCCTGCCCTGACATCATTGCCTCTGGGAACCTCCTGACTCAGGCCTGCTGTGAGCCTCCCCCACCTCCCACTCCCTCCCCAGCCTCAGTACCACCGGGACTTCCCTTATTCAGCCGTCAAGGCGAGAGGTGAGTCAGGGCCCAGGAACCCAGCCAAGAGGGGTGGCCTCGGAGGCCGTTCGTGGGCAGAGCGGCAATGACATTCCCAGAGCCAGCCGGTACCTCCGTCTGGGAGAGGGTGATGAATGTGATCCTGCTCCCCGGAGAAGGAAACCCAGGAGCACAGAGGTCATGTGGGGTCCCTGAGACCCCAGAGGCTGGAGGAGGATCAGCTCTGCAACAGCGTCCCCACCTGTGGGCCAGGTGGAGTGCACAGGGCCTGGCCTTACATCTGGACCCACTTAGTACCGAGAGCACAGCCAGGGGCCCTGACCCCAACCTGGACCCGGGCCAGACACAAACGGGGGCTACTTCAGAAGCCTTCCCGCCATGTCTCATGGCTCCAGGCCGATGGATCAGCCCTCTCCCGCCACCGCTCAGACGTGGTTAGCTGTGCTGTGGTCTGGGGAGGCTTCTCCCACACACGTCCACAGGGGGCCACGGAAAGTCCCTGCTATCAGTGAATGTGGCCGAGCTCAGCAGCAATGTCTGACTTCACTGGATCCAGGCAAGACAGGGGGCAGGGAGAGCTCAGTCAGCCACGACCCAGCTGACTGCTATCAGAACTGAGCAAAGACCCAGGGCCTGAGCACGCAGCGGATGCCCCAGGTAGACCGTCCATCCTAGACCACCTATAGGGCACAGCTGGGGCTCAGGGACTGCCCATCCCCCCTCATGAGGCTGTGTAACATTAAGAGGCCCTGGCATCCGGATGTAACCAGGGCAGAGGCATGGGCCACTGTGGGGAGCTGGGGCACAGCAGCTGTGGGGCTGCTCGGTGTAGTTAGCAGCCAAGTAGGTATGGCGTTTCTGGGAGTGAGAGAGACCAGAGGTCAAATTTTACTTCCCAGCTCCCTGGCTGTGGGACTTGAAGCACCCGCTAGCTTTTCTTTCTTTCTTTCTTTCTTTCTTTCTTTCTTTCTTTCTTTCTTTCTTTCTTTCTTTCTTTCTTTTTTTTTAAATACATTTTTATTGATTTCAGAGAGGAAGGGAGAGGGAGCAAGAGATAGAAACACCAGTGATGTGAGAGAATCATTGATTGGCTGCCTCCTGCATGCCCCACACTGGGGATTAAGCTCACAACCCAGGCATGTGCCCTGACCGGGAATAGAACCGTGACTTCCTGGCTAATAGGTTGACACTCAACCACTGAGCTATGCTGGCCGGGCACCCTCTATTCTTTCTGAGTTTCAGTTGTCTCATCTGCAGAGTGGGGCCTGTATTAGATTTTATCCTATCAAGTTGATTCGAGGATTAGAGGAGGTGTTGGACAAGTAACCTCTTTGGTCATTAAGCTGGTCACTTAGGAGCGAGGAGAGGACTGAAGTCCCCCATCTGGAGACCACCCAAGGTCTTATTTCAGCCCTGATGTTGGGCTGCTTTCCCCCCCACCTCCCGCCCCTCCCCCGTCATAAGTTCCCAGCGCACTTCCGGCCGGCGTTAGAGGGGGCTTCTGTTTTTAAGGCACTGCCATCTCCAGTGCCTGCCAGCCCCTGTGAAAGCACTACTCCTTCGGTCCGGGGTGCCGGAGTGACGCAGAGAGCCTGCGAGGCCCAGCACACCCGGGATGCTGGCCCCCATCCCTCCCTCCCAATGATCCCGGCCCAGCCTTCCCTGAGCATACCTGCTCACGGAGAGCGTGAGGTGGTCATGGCAGCCCTTGATGCGGTTCTGCGCCTCCAGGTGTGTCATGAGCTCCGTGCTCTCCCCATTGATGGCCTGGATCAGGTCCCCAGGGCACAGGGCAGCCAGGGCAGCTTTGCTGCCAGCGTGGACCTGCAGGTGGACAAGTCGGATGGCTGGGCGCTCGTCACCACGGGGCCTCTGCTCTGGACACCCCGATTCCAGCACCCGGAGGCCTGGTGGGGTGTAAGGTCAGATGCGAGGGGCTTCCTCTGGGCTGGGACGAGGGGGACATTACCCCTGCAGCCTGCTCACGCGCCCAAGGATAGGGAAGGGGCACACAGGGGTACACGTGCTCCCGGATGCACACAAAGCATGGACCTTTCACAAATCACCCCACCCAGCCAAACCGCACAGTAACCCCCTGGCCAACATTCAAAGCCTTTGTGACCTCGGCTCCCTTCCTGTTTCCTCTCATCCCCACCCCACATTCACCTCCACCCACTCACACTCTATCTGGATCATCGGAGTGTCCAGGGGGTCCTCACGGGCACCAGGGGTCTCTCTCACCTCCACGCTTCCGCGGATGCTGTTCTCTTTACCTGGTACATTCTTTCCTTTGACCCCAAGTCCTAATGACCAGCCTACTCCTTCCTCCTCACCCTTCAGGTCCCAGCAGAGAGGCTGTGTCCTCGGGCACCCCCCTCTGGGCTCTCACCGAACCCTGTACACCCCCCGTACCACGTTTCTCCCTTAACACTGTTAGCGCCTCCTCTAGGTCTGGGTCATCACCCCCACTGCTATGTCCAGGGCCGTCTACTTCCAGCGCCAGCCTGCATTTCTGGCTCAAAGGACAGGCACTCACTCAGGCCTCCCCAGTGTCACCGGCCCCAGAAGGTCCATGGCAACCACAGCTTACAATGCTGGTCCCCCGGGGAAGGCCATGTGAGGTTGGGGACAGGCTCACCGGGAAGCCTGAGTGGGCAGCCCAGGGAGCCCTCCCCCCGACCCCGGTCCTGGCACAGCCTTTGGAAACGGACGTCAGACGCCCTCATTCTCACCCAGTCCCGCCAGCAGGGCTCTGCTGCGGCTCGGTCGCCCTGTTCCTATGGGCGGGGGTGGGGGCTTCCGGAAACCCGGCCAGGTTCAGCTCGGCTAGTGCTCAGCAGTGAGTGGACAACGCTGAGGTGCTGGCAGCTCCGTGGCTGGCGTCCTGGTGTGGGCACTGCCCGAGCTGGCCTGCCCTGCCCTAGGCTGCCCCAAGGAATGTCCTGGAGCATGACACCCGCAGCCACTCGCCACCTTCCATGCACACTCCTACGGTCTTGGTGCGTGCACAGGCCTGTCCTCCATCCCAGCCTCTCCGGAAGGCCCTGCTCGGGCCCCCTCTCCTCATGGACACCTCCTCCATGACACGGCCCAGGCTCAGTGCTTTCCCCATAACCGCTCTTGGCACCCTCTCAAGCACCTGGTGAGACCGCGGCATTGTCATCCCTCTGCCAGACAAAGAAAGAGAGGCTCAGGGGGAGCGGAGTCTTCCTCAGGGGGTGGCCGCGGGTGACTCAGCCGGCACAAGGGCGCTTTCAGGCCCCGGTGGGTGGGGGAAGCTCTCGAAAGCTGAGGTGGCTGGAACTCCTGCCAGCTCCCCTGGCCCCGAGAGCTCCGGTCAGAGAGGCGGAGGCCAGGAAACGGTGACGCTCCCAACTGACTTTCCACGCACTGTCCCCTCCAGCCCGGAGGCGAGCCCACTTTCCGGGTGAGAGACCGAGGTCCAGAGGAGGAGAGGAGGAGAGGAGGACACTCGGTGGGTAAGGGGGAGTTAGGGTTTCCATCCCGCTCAGCTGCTTCCAGGTCCTACGCTCATCACCGCTGCGTGCTTCTCTGCAAAAACGGAGGGAAGGGAGAGGGATGGTCCCGGGTAGAAGGGTCAGCGTGTATGATGGCTCATTAGAGAGAGAGAGAGAGAGAGAGAGAGAGAGAAAACATAAAAGCAGGCTTGTGGCAGAAGCATCACTAATGAGGAGAGAGTGGGAGAGACGAAGTCAGAAGAGGAGCAGGGGCCAGGCCTGGGGGCCTCGTAGGCCCAGGTGGGAACCTGGCATTTCTCCCAGGTGGACGGGAGCCATGGAGGGCTCTAAGCAGGGACACCACAGGACAGAGCTGGATTCAAGCCGACCCCTCCGGCTGCAGAGCAAAGGATAAACAGACAGAAAGGAGGGAGAGGGGAGCAGTGAGTCAGCTGGGAGGCGGGACGTGAATGGGGCCCCTTACCTGCATCCCAGCCCCAGCTCCACTCCACCCAGCCCAGCGGCCGGGGCGGGCGCGGGCCGGAGACCAGGTGCCACATTTTCCATACCGTCCCAGCCAGCTCCAGAGGCCAGGATTCCTGTGCCTGCTCTGCTGCTCGGGGTACATCCCCTTAGCCTCTCTGAGCCTCAGGGTCCCCAGCACTCACGTAAAGCCAGAGGGAGTTCTCCCAAGGGCTGCTGTGAGAGCGAACTATTTGAGACCATCAGGGCAAAACCCTCCCACGGGGCGTGGGGCACCCGGTGATGCTCACTCCAGGCACCAGTTGCCGGGGAGCTGGGACCAACACCCTTTAGGGTGTGGCCCGGAACACTGCAGATGCACCCACGCCAGCAGTCCCTGCCGTGTGTGTGTGTGGGGGGGGGGAAGGAGCCCTGGACACCGTTCTCAGAGGCTCTGTGAGCTGAGGTTCGCAAGGCCCCAGCTCTGCCAGGCTGCCCGCCTCCTCCCCGTCTGAGGGTAGCTGTCCCTTCTGGGTGGGAGAGGCCCTGGAAGCACGAGGGGGCTGGGTCTTGAACCCCTGGGTGAGGACACTCCCGTCTATCCTCGGTGTCTGCAAACCTGCCCTGGAGGGATCTGCTGGGCAAGCCGCGGCCTGTGCCTCCCCAGCCCCACAAATCTCCCCAGATCCCACCCAAACCCGGGCTCCGCCATCCTGGCTCCTCAGGCCTGCGCGGCTGCCATGTGACTCTGGGGGACAAGGGGGGTTTCTCCAGGCAAACCCTCGCCCAGCCTCCTGCCTGCCTGCCAGGGGCCTGCATCACTGTCAGCTCCAAACAAGGCGCCGCCGCCGTGACGTGTGGAGGCCTTTCCTTGCAGGCAGCCAGCCGCGTGGGCAACAGATGTCTCTGCTCCCTGCCGCCCGCGGCCGTCAGCCGCCGCCACCGAGCCTGTCAGCAGCCTCGCGCCCAGGATGCCCGGCCCCCCGCGGGTCTAGCGCCCCCACCAGCCCACCTCGGTGGACACAGGGCATGACACAGGGAGGCTCGCCCCCTCCCCCAGCGGGGCTCCCTCAGGAAAGGGGGAGATGAAAGGCTGCCGGATGTGCAGCCGGCCTACCTCACTCCCAGGGACCCGGTGGTGTGGGGTGAGGGCAGATGGGGAAGCCTCCCAGGACAGCTGGGCCTGCCTGTCACCCCGGCCCCCAGAAAGGGGATTCCACGGTTCCACACTCCACCGGGCGCCCACCCCGCTCCCAGGAACTGGGAGGAAAAGCCTGAAAGTCCAGCCAGCTTGGTCCAGCCCCCCAGGCGAGAGGGGGCAGGGGGCGGGGGGAGGTGACTCTCAGTTTCCCTGACACAGGCCCCTGAAAGGCCAAAGCAGCTGTGCGGGGAGCAGGAGATGACTCTCTGATGCCCTCAGCTCCTTCCCTCCAGACGGGGGGCCTCCAAGGGCAGGGCCTGGGCTCTCTCCTCTTCTGTCCCTGAGGCTGGGACCCCTAGGGGCTGAGTCTGAGTCTCGTCTTCTGGCCCTTCAAACTACAGTACCCCAAGGCTGGGTCAGAATCCCCTCTCCCCCAGAATGGGCACCCCTCTGATAGGGCCCGAGTCCTCTCCTCTGCCTTTCTGTCCTCAAATTAGCCACAGGGCTGCGGGGGGAGGGGGGGGTTGTGCCCCCATCCCTCCCTCCTCTGACCTACGCCTGGGGCAGAGTAGGTCCTGGAATCCCGAGGAACTGGGCTGAGGCTGACCCAGCCCCTGGCCTTGAGGGGAGAGAGGGGAGAGGTCTCACAAGCTTAGAGTCAAGTCTCTCCTTTTCCTGGAAACCAAAGATTCCTCCAGTTACTTCCCCTTAGGTCACCCGAGGCCGCTGCTGAGAGTGACCAGAGCCAGGGTGGGGGATCCTTCTCTTTTCCACTCAGGGAGGACCCCAGCTCTGCTGGCAGGGACCTTTGATAAGGGGGGTGCACTCTCAATCATTTTGCTCCGAATCTTTAGGTTGGGTTCCCTCTAAGCAGGGTTGCTGAGCTTCTGTAGATCTGTCTACAGAATCTACAGAAGGCTGCGGTCCTTCCCTGGCCTGCAGTGAACCCCCCCGCCCCCCCCCCCCAAATGAGGCCAGCGGGAAGGCTGATGTGTGAATGCGTGGGGTGTTCCTCCACGAGATGGGGCAGGCGGGCCCAGCAGAAGGGAGGGGAAGGGGCTGGGGCGACACTGCCCAGCCTGGAAGCCTCCTCTATCCTCCGTGGGCCACCCAGGCCATCCCTCAGCCTGTGAGCCCCGGGAACGTCGGGGGTCCGGGTCCCGGCGGATCACGGGGACCACGTCTCAGATCCAGGACCTCCCCGCCGCCCGCGCCCGCCGGACTCACCCGCGAGATGGTGAGGGGCGCGCTGAAGTCCCGGCCGCCCACCAGGCGGAAGCCCCAGGGCGAGGGGCCGCGCAGGGTCACGGAGTGCGGCATCGCGGGCGGGAGCCGCAGCGGGAGCCGAGCGGACACTGAGGATCCCGCCGCCGCCGCCGCCGCCGCCGCCTGGGCGCCGCCCCGCCCCCGGCCCGCCCGGCCGGACCCCGCTCCGCCCGCCCCCGCCCCGCTCCGCGCGCGCCCGGATTGGCCCCGCCGCGCCCCGACCCTCCCACTTCGGGGGGCTCCGAGGACCCGCCCCCCGCCGCGCACCCCCTCGGGGCTCCCGGGACCCCCGCCCGGGACGGCTCCGACGGCCGGATCCCGCCGGGCAGGCGCTCTGCGGGCCGCGCACCCAGCCAGGCCGGGAGCTCCGCTCAGGCCCTTTGAAGTCGCTTCTGCGGGGCGGCGCCCGGCCGGGAGGGATGGGGAGGGAGAGGGGGGAGGAGGGGGTGTGGGCAGGTGGGGGATGGGGCCGCTCCTTGTCATCAGAGTACTGGCCGGCAAACCTGCGCCCCCACCCCTCGGTGCGCGCGTCCCCAGAACGGCGAGCACGGCGGGGAGCCCTGGGCCTGAACAGGCCTAGGTCAGGGACCCGGACTCAGCGTGACAGCCCGCGCTGCCCAGTATGGGGGTGGGAGCAGAAAGGTACCCGACCTGGTCCTGGAGGCCAGGAAGGCTGTCTGGATGAGGTGGCCCTGACTTGGTCTCTAGAAGCAAGATGTCCCTTATCTTGTCACCCAGGTGTCCCTGCTTCCCCAGGACCCTTAGCCTCCTGCACAGCTCTCTCCCCGCCTCCTTTTAAGGAGTTTTGTTTCCTCACGATTCCTGGGAAAGGAGCGGCTAGGGTAACGAGGGTGGCAGCTGTCCCACAAACGGGAGTGGACTATCTTCACTTGGGGCCCTCTCCCCACTCTCAGCCATGCATCCCAGGGCACCCTGGAACAGCCTCTGCAGGTGCCGCGGCGTGGCCATCTGGCTCTCCCGGCTGCATCAGAGCAGCAGTGTTTGCTTCTCCAGACTCTGAGGAGGTCCCTAGTTCAGTCATTGCTTGACAACCCTGTGCCCCCTCTTGGCCACGTTCTGGGAAGGGCTCTGCCCTCGGGAGGCTGAGAGGTGGTGGTGTGAGGTGTGCCTGGGAGTCACCCCCAAGGAGAGCTGCTGCTTGAGAGGCACAGCCTAGGGTGGTCTAAGGAAGTGGCACCCTTTGGGGTAGAACGTGAATGCCTCTCTGGGAGACGGGGTGCTCCGGCTTGCAGAGAAGCCGGAGCGGTGTGTGCGCAGCAGCGGTGTGTGTGAGTGTGTGTGTGTGTGTGTGTGAGTGAGTGTGTGTGCAGGGGTGTCCACACCCGCAGAGCATCAGCCATTCGGCACTCAGTACTGTGAGGTGGAGCGGGACCGCGTGGCAGGGGCAGCAGGAGAGTTGGTCTCTGGACGGCCTCTCAGAGGCTCTCAGGCCAGAGGCGCCTTGGGGCCTGGCCTTCACTGAATGACTTGGGGAGCGGGGCGACCACCCCTGTCACTGACGGAGGGCTGGGTGCACGGCGTGGAGGGTGCTCGTCTGGACCCCCAAGAGCCCTGTGACTGTAGATGGCACAGAGCTCTGCTGGGTGGGAGAGGGGGCCTCAAGGCTCTGTGGACGTTTCGACCCAAGGCATCCCATGGTGGATCCCTGAAACTCCTCCTTAGACATTGCTTCCTAGGGCCTGCCAATACCTCCCCTCCCCAAACCCTTTCATTGTTTTCTTCTTTACTTCCATCTGAGGGAGTATATCACCCCCTTCCAGGAGTGGTCCTCCTGAATATGCATTTCCTAGCCTCTCCCTCAGCACCTGGGCATTTAGTCCATCTCCAAAAAGGCTTGTCTCACAGGGTAGCAGATGGGAGTGACTCTTCTAGAATCTGGCACATGAACTTTCCCATTTCACTGCACGGTTTCTGAGGCAGGTCCAGGGTCCAGGGTCCCCACAGAAGGTTGTTGATGACATCTGTGCTTACTAGCACATCAGAGGCCCACTTCTGACGGGCCTAGGCTGGCTGCTGTCCTGGAGACTGGCCCTTCTTAGGGGCCACATGGCGAACTCACTCCTGAGGGCCCCTACATCCAGCCCATCCCCAATATGTCCTCCGAGAAGCCCTTGGAATTTTCCTTTCACTCTTGCTGGCCTTGCTCCTAGGGGGTCGCTATGTTGCTGAATCTCTGTCATGCTGGGGCACCCAGTCACAGGCAGCTACAGGGCCTGGGAGCCCTCTCCAAGGTGGAGAGAGTGGGCGCTGGGTCATTGCCTCACCTCTTCCCTCGTGGCCTTCACTTGCTCACTGCACATCCCACCAGGCACCTGTGCTTCTGGTATAACCAGCCTGCTCTATGCAATCTTTACCCGATCAAGAAATATGTATTGAGTACTTTCTGTGTGCCACGGCCTATGCTGGAATCAAGAGGTCCGTGGGGGCATGGGCTGTGTCTATCTTATTTATGTTTTCCCAGGATCCAAAAGAGAGCCTGGCACACAGAAGGTATTTAAAAAAACAAAACAAAACAAAACAACCACACAACATTTGCTACTAACAATATTATCACTACTATGGGAATTCTTATCTCAGCTCACCCCTTGGCCACAGCCCAGAGAAAGGCGGGGTGGGGGGGGTGGGGGGGCATGAGGAGGCCTCGGACAGGGAAGACTTCAGCTCTTGCTGCCTTGGAGACCACATCCAGGGGCCCTGTCCTTCAGGAGAGCCCCAAGGGTATCGGGGCACCATGCCCAGGTATTCTGTGCCTGGCAAGTCTGTCCAAGGACAGAAGAAACCACAGTGCATTTTCCTCAATGGGCTGGCAAATTCCAACAGAAGCAGATGCCCTTGGGAGGTAGCCTTGAGGCTGGGCCTAGGGAAGGAGAAAGAAGGGCTGACAGGAGCAACCTTAGGTTGAGGTGAAGGCCAACTCAGCGGACTGCCCAGCCTTCGGTGGGGGGTGGGCTGACGTTGATGGAGTGGCCCTGAGAATGCCTTCCTGTGAGGTACTAGGGACTGGCCAGAGAACTCAGACCCTGACCTGCCCTGCCCTGGCACGGTGGCCAAAAATCTCTGGGTGGGGTCTGCCCCATCAGGGTCAATGACTAGGGGCCTCCATGAAGGCCCAGCTCCTTCCTCCCGAACAGTAGCTTGAATTCCAATGGGATTGGAATCCTTGATGGGCTTCCCTCTTCATGGGATGCCCAGTCCAATGCAGGATCCCAGAGGGCAGCAAAAGAAGAATCTGAGAAGCCCCCATTATCATGTGGCCTGTCTAACCCAGCTCCGGGTCCCAGGGATCTGCTCTCCAAGAGGCCTGCTGGTCACAGCGAAGAGCCTGTGAGTCTGTGGGAGGGAGGGATCGGGGGCAGGGCTGGATGGGGCAGTGCGGTGCCAGCCTTCTGCAGGGCTAGGACTTGGCCCTACAGTGATAGGGAGCCAAGGCAGGTGCTGGGCAGTGTTTGAGGGCCTCTGAAAGGCAATCAGGGGCATGGACACCAAACCACATCCAAAAGGAAGGTCTGGGGTGATGTAGCCTGTGAGGCAGGTTGAGGGCTGATGACCCACATATCCTGGGATGATAATCAGTCAAGGAGGCAACAAAGCTGGCTTTTGAGCTGTGCATGTGCAACAGAACACACAGGCAGGGTGTGCCTGTCACAAAGGGAGTTTCCAGGCTCTAGTTTTGTGCCATCTGATCCCTCCACAAACATTTATTGAGTGCTTGCTGTGTGTCTAGCCTAGACTTGACAAACAAGCCTTGGAACTGTGGTGGGGACGCCCCACCCGGCCGCTGCCCGGCTTCCTCCGGGGACTGAGAGGCCAGAGGCTCTAAGGGAAGCAGTCTCTGAGGGTCCCAACAGGGGCAACGCTGGTTGTGACAAATGGAGCCTCGTTACTGGCCCTGAGCCAGATTCCAGGACCGACACAGACACAGAACCAACTCCCACCAGGAAACTGCGCCTTCGGGAGGATGCGTGACCATGCCGAGCTCGCATAGCTTTTAAGAGGCTGATCTAAGCTTCTAAACAAGGTAAGACCCTGCGTTAGTGACTTTATCCTATGCCCCTCGCACCAGGAACTAGACATGTCTCAGTCATCTGCAGTCCCCAACAGCACCCTGTCAGACCTGCTTTGTTGCTGTTTTCACAGAGAAAACCTGTCTGCTCTGGGACCCAACAAAGGGGTGGAGGCTGGTTTACCCAGCTGCGCCCCAGGAGGCCCTGGCCCTGAGGCCTGAGGGTGGGGGTGCTGGGAGGAGTGGCATCGCACACAAGGGGGTAGGCAGCAGACAGGTGAGAGACAGAGGAGGCTCACCCCAGTCCAGGCAGGAGAGTGACAGAACAGGCAGCCATGGGATTGAGTGCTGTGCAACGGGGGGATCAAGAGGCAGCTTTCACTGGCACTGCAATCTCCCCCGTACCTCAGTGGTACCCCATCCTTACCCCTACTCCTCATTCAGGCCGGAAGGTGTAGGCCAAGCATGTCAAACTCAAAGGCTAACACGGGCCAAATAAACAAAGTGTAAGTTTATGTGGGCTGCAAAAAAACACACAAAAGCTTCAATTTTCATGGAAACATAGGTTTATTTTGATAGAGACATGCTGAATACAAAGGGCCGAAATAAATGAGCCATCGTTAACATAAAAAAAAATAGAACATTTTAATAAAAATTAATATTTTTTCTTGAACGTTAACTTACCAGACACTGAATAACTGCAGAAATTAGTAAGTGTAATGCAAATAAACCTATTTTTCTTGTTCTCGGAAAGCGAAATATTTCCTGTCACTCACACCAAGCAAATCAGTAGAAGACTAACGACATGGCCATCAGCTGCTAAAATATTCGCTGCTGCTGGCATTAATGAAGAGAATTGGTGCGCCTGTGCGTAAGGCGTATAAGGGAAATGGATGCAACACGATTATAGTAATCAGTCATTAGCGAACATTGTAGTTCATTGTTAATTATATATAACAGAATATTGTAAAAATTAAGTTAAGGATTTAAAAAAAATATATTTTATTTTTTACAAAGAGGAAGGGAGAGA